TCCTTCCTTCCTTCCTTCCTTCCTTCCTTCCTTCCTTCCTTCCTTCCGCACTGAAACTCTGCATGAGTCCATGTTCTTGGTTCATTTAACTTCCTTCCTTCCTTCCTTCCTTCCTTCCTTCCTTCCTTCCTTCCTTCCTTCCTTCCTTCCTTCCTTCCTTCCTCACTGAAACTCTGCATGAGTCCATGTCCTTGGTTCATTTTCCTTCCTTCTTTCCTTCCTTCCTTCCTTCCTTCCTTCCTTCCTTCCTTCCTTCCTTCCTTCCTTCCTTCCTTCATCACTGAAACTCTGCATGAGTCCATGTCCTTGGTTCATTTTCCTTCCTTCCTTCCTTCCTTCCTTCCTTCCTTCCTTCCTTCCTTCCTTCCTTCCTTCCTTCCTTCCTTCCTTCTTTCCTTCCTTCCTATAATTTAGCAATAGCAATGGCACTGAGACTTATATACCGCTTCATAGTGCTTTACAGCCCGCTCTAAGCGGTTTACAGAGTCAGCCCATTGCCCCCAGGAATTTGGGGTCCTCCTTTTTTACCCACCTTGGAAGGAAGGAAGGCTGAGTCAACCTTGAGCCTGATGGGATTCGAACAGCCAAATTGCAGGCAGCCGGCAGCCAGCAAAAGTAGCCTGCAGTACCGCACTCTCACCACTGCGCCATGGAGGCTCATTTACCATAATTATTCGTGCGGATGATCAGAGAGGGGAAGTAAATTAAATAGCACATTTTTCTTTGGTGTTATTCTGGAAGGGTTTTCTTTCTTTCTCTCCCTCTCCCTTTCCCCACTCCCTCCCTCTTCCTCTCCCCCTTTTCTCTCCCTTTCCCTTGCTCCCCCTTTCTCTCCTTCTCCCTCTCCTTTCCTCCTCTCCCTCTCTCCTTCTCCCTCTCTTAATCTGGCATGTTTTCCCCTCTATTTGATCGGGATTCCAGTGCTTTCTTAATGTAAGGTTCTTAAGAACAGTTTATTCACTTATTGTTCTCCATAAAATGGAGGAAGTCTCATGGGAACCCCAAAAGCCTCAGTCAAGAACGCAGTTGCAACTGGGTGATCAAAGCAAGCGTTATCTATGCTTCAATTGGGTGGAGAACCTGGAAACTGGGATCAACCATGTTTGGTAGGTACCGGATGTCCATTCCCGGTTCTTGGAGCTCACTCAATTACTGGAGGACCAACCAGGAGAAGAGAGGTCAAAAAACCAAGGTCACACACACTCATAATACCATCAAACCATGAGATTGGATGTGCTTTGGGAGGTGCTACTTCAAGCACTCACCAGGGCAAGTATCTGCAAACCATCCCAGATTATCCAGCACAAATGACAGTTTCGTACTTCTCATAGTCAGGAAAGTCCTCCCTTATTTCAAGTCTGAATCTCTCTCTCTCTCTCTAAATCTTCCACCCAAAGTTCTTGAGAACTTTGGAGAATAAATCCATTTCTCCTTCTCTGTGGCACTGCTTCATCAAAGTCTCAAAGCCCATCTTGGATTTTGTGAGCTGAACACTATGGAGAAAAATGCGCTTACACATTTTTTAACAGTATTGGTTCTTATTCAATGTGATGTTAGAGCGGGGGTCCCCAAACTTGGCAACTTTAAGACTTGTGTGGACTTCAACTCCCAGAATTCTCCAGCCAGCTAGTTTGGAGGCCTCTGCTCTGGATGATATAAATCAGCTTGAAGATCGAGGTGGAACGTCAACTCCCAGAATTTCCCCACCAACATGGCCAGCAGGGGAATTCTGGGAGTTGAAGTCCACAAGTCTTAAAGTGGCCAAGTTTGGAGACCTCTGTGTTAGGACATTTGCTTCAGTGGAAAGGCTTACGATAGCCTTGCACTGGCTGGGGAATTCTGGGAGTTGAAGTCCACACATCTTAAAAGTTCCCAGGGTTAAGAAATACATTTTTAGACTGATGGAAGATGTAAAATAAGAAATTAAGCTAACAACGGTATCTTCCCAACATGTCTACAAGCAAACATTGGAAAGAAATACTCCAGCATCCTAATAGCCTTAACTCATAATGAGGTAGACTCATCCCCAAATATCTTGGAAATTTCAACTCTGGGTTCCCACAAACTCTTAAATTCTAAAACTAAGCTAACCCAACATTACATGCGAAGATAGGGTTTCTTTACGTGGAAGCCGGCTAGGTAACTTTGGACCAATCACCAGGAAACTGGGAGTTCTAGCGTTGCCTTAGAAATGAAAGCCAGCTAGGAGACTTTGGACCAATTACCAAGAGACTGGGAGTTCTAGTCCTGTCTTATCCATGAAAGCCAAGTAGGTTATTTTGGGCCAACCATAAGGGGGCTCTGAATTATGATCCCATTTTGGGCTTGAAAACCAGCTGGGTGTCTTTTGCCAATCACTAGGAGATTGGGAGTTCTAGTCCTTTCTTTGCTATGAATGTCGAATAGGTGACTTTGGGCCAAACACCGGGTGACAGGAAGGTTCTAGTTCTGCCTTAGCCATGAAAGTCAGCTAGGTAACCTTGGGCCAATCACCAGGAAAATGGGAGTTCTAGTTCTGCCTTAGGCCTGAGCGTCAGCTTCATAAAAATAATAAAGGCGTGTAAGGCCGTGAGTTCGATCCTAGGTTAGAGGCTAATATTTGGAATAGACTCTCCTGCTCAAGCAGGGGGTTGGACTACATGACCTCCAAGGTCCCATCCAACACTGTTTATTCTATGATTCTAAACAAAGCAGGTGACGTGGTAAGACCACACCCTTCCTTTTCCCCTGGAAAAAAAAAAGGCAAAATAACCCCTGGGGTGGGATGGGGTGGGGGAATATGGCATCTTTTTTTTTGAAAAAGGAGATAAAAAAACAGTTTTCTCTCCATAGGTTCTGCTATGTCTTGTGACTTTTTTTTTTTTTTTTAAAAAGCTTCTTTTAATTCAAAAGTCAAATCAAGAAACTCCGCTTCGGTGTTTGGAGGCCTGCTGAGAAAGGAATTCCCTTTGGGGTAAGGGTTGGCCACGTCCACTAACCCCAACAATATACCAGAATAACAAGAGTTAGAAGGGACCTTGAAGATCTTCTAGTCCAGCCCCGTTTAGGCAGGCAACCCTACACCACTTCAGACAAATGGTGATCCAACATCTTCTTTAAAACTTCCAGTGTTGGAGCATTTACAGCTTCTGGAGGCAAGTAGTTCCACTGGTTAATTGTTCTCCCTGACAGGAAATTCCTCCTTAGTTCTAAGTTGCTTCTCTCCTTGATGAGTTTCCATCCGTTGCTTCTCGTCCTGCCTTCTTTGGTGCTTTGGAGAATAGCTTGACTCCCCTCTTCTTTGGGGGAGCAACCCCTGAGATATTGGAAGACTGCTAACATGTCACCCCCGGTCCTTCTTTTCATTGAACTAGACCAGAGGTCTCCAAACTTGGCAACTTTTAAGACTTGTGGACTTCAACTCCCAGAATTCCCTAGCCAGTAGGCTGGTGGACTTTAAGACAGGTGGGTTTCAACTCCCAGAATTCCCTTGCCAGCAGGAAGTCCACACGTGTCAAAGTCCATTTAGCATGCTGGCTGGAGAATTCTGGGAGTTGAAGTCCACAATGTCTTCAAGTTGCCAAGTTTGGAGACTTCTGAACTAGACATACCCACTTCCAGCAACCATTCTTTATATGTTTTAGCCTCCAGCCTCCTAAACTTTTTGGTTGCTCTTCTCTGCCCTCTTTCTAGAGTTGTATTGTGCAGGGGCTTACGGCAACCACTCCCACCCCTTACCCCCAATTTTGCTCCACCAACCAAGCCCCAAAAGTCGTCTGCCCCTGATTTAGAGAAAAAGTGCCACAAATGCCTACTGGACCTGCAATGAATCGTTGGCTGCTTCCCTTATCCTCCCCACAATCTTGGCTGTCACTCCGATCAGCTGCTAAGCTGCGTTGAGCAGCGGTGAATTAAAGAGGAACCCAAACACCAGACCCCAGCCCACAAATCTGGTTGCCATGACAGGCTGTTAGTGGGTGAGCTTTCTAAAAATTGTTTATTTTTTTAACAAGAAGGATTCCATACAGCCCCGGAAGGCTGGTGGAGAGCTCAGCCGGAGGATGCCAAGTTTATTTCCAGGTGGTTCTCGACTTTCAACCATTTACCTGTGGTTCGAACCCTAGTATGCAAAACCTCCATGAACAGCGCAGTTTACCCCCAAGTTTCTCCTCTCCTTTCTCCTTCTTTCCTTCCTTCCTTCCTTCTTTTGTTTTTATTTTCCTTTCCTTTTTTCCTTCAGCTTCCTCTCCTCTCCTATTCTTCTTCCTTCCTTCCTCCTTTCCTTCTTTCCTTTCCTTCTTTCCTTTCCTTTCCTTTCCCTTCCTTCTTTCCTTCTTTCCTTTCCTTCTTTCCTTTCCTTTCCTTTCCCTTCCTTCTTTCCTTCTTTCCTTTCCTTCTTTCCTTTCCTTTCCTTTCCCTTCCTTCTTTCCTTCTTTCCTTTCCTTCTTTCCTTTCCTTTCCTTTCCTTTCCTTTCTTTTCCTTTCCTTCCCTTCTTTCCTTTCCTTTCCTTTCCTTTCCTTTCCTTTCCTTTCCTTTCCTTTCCTTCTTTTCTTTCCTTTCTTTTCCTTTCCTTTCCTTTCCTTTCCTTTCCTTTCCTTTCCTTCCCTTCCCTTCCCTTCCCTTCTGTCCTTTCCTTTTGTTTCCTTTCCTTTCCTTTCCTTTCCTTTCCTTTCCTTTCCTTTCCTTTCCTTCCCTTCCCTTTCCTTTCCTTCTTTTCTTTCCTTTCTTTTCCTTTCTTTTCCTTTCTTTTCCTTTCCTTCCCTCTCCTTCTTCCCTTCCCTTCCCTTTCTTAGTTCCCTTCCCCTTTTCCTTTCCTTCTCCCCTGACAACCTTCCTGGCGCCTATCGCCTCTCCCACAGGCCCCGATCCACCAACTCCTATCCTGTCTCCCACCCCTTCC